CTTGATTTCCATTACCGGGGAACTGTCCTTGGTTTCCATTGCTTGGGAGGTTTCCGTAGCTTACATTACCTGGGACCTGCCCCTGATTTGAAAAGCCGGACTTCTAAACCATAAATTTTTGCATGAATGCTTTTGTTTTTTCAGCAAGGGTATGTAAATAGCGTCAAAAAATGTGCACAAATTCTGCATCGCATCTAAAGCTGCCATTTCAATACGAAGGCAGTAAACTGAAGTTAATTGTCTGCTAGCCTTCTATAAATTCAGTTTTCCAGTGAAAAAGTAAGGCTTTACAAAATCTTTCAAATAAGTAACCTGATTTTGTCCACCGTTTCGTTCAACTGATCGCGTCGCTGCAGCTACGATTAGCCAACAATAAACAGCTGCTTTAAGCGGATTCATAATGAACAACAAAGCAAATGCTTTGATTACTTGAAAGTATTTGGTAAGCTTATAAAGGCCTAGAAGTGTTGCTGATGTTCCCTTATATTTTGCACCGTTTATGTTTGTACAGCGCAGACAATTTTTTGCAGATGAGGCTGTTTTGGATGCATTTATTAAAATTTGGTTACCTTTGCAGTGTTCCATTTTGTTAGAGCTTTCAATTAATAACTCTCTGCGAGAATAGGCGTGGAAAGCAAGTAATGGTTTATTAAACTTATGCAAAAGCATGCAGTTTTGTCTTGTTGACGTTGACATTGAGTTTATTTTGATGAGTCATCCTGAAGCATCTTCACCTGTACAAATACGGATGCGGCCTAAAATCAGGAACAGCACGGAAGTGTAAAAAGGAACATCAGCATCACTTTTAGAACTTAGACATAGCAGGAATTGCCATTAGGTTAGAGTATTTGTTCTGTTTTACATCGGATATTCGTTTGACGTTCAGTCGTTTTATTGTGACTGCAACACCACAATCACTTGGGCAGAGAGGAAATGAAGACCGAGTTGCTTATTCTGAAGCAATTTTTTAATGTTCTACTTTCTCATTGAAAAGATGAAGCTGTACAGAGCTGTATAGATAATCAACTCATATTAAATATATTTTTATTGAAAGGACTATTTTGAATTGGATACAGATTTCTCAGGCAGTTTCTTATTGCCGTTCACATAACTTTTTGAGGAATTGAAAGGATGGACATAGAAGTTTTTTACGGAAGGCTAGCATTGGAAATCTGAAAGAGTTTGTGGGTGATAAATCCAGGGATAGTTCTTTGTTAGAGGAAATGGACGGTAACAGCTATATGGCGAAAACCTGAGACAGTTATGAGGTGATGAAGATCAAGGATGTATTCTGCGTAGTGAAGTCCAGAAAAAATTTTATGGAAACTAAAAATGGTTTTCATAAAATTTTTTCTGGACTTCACTACGCAGAATCAATTAACAAAAATTACGGACAATTTTTTGTCGGAGGACGTCAAGGACAGTCCTAAGTAGTAGAAGCCAGGTACAACTTTTGGAAATTAAAATCAGAGACAGGGCGCACGTAAAAGAAATTAGAGACGGTCCTATGGCAATAGAATTTGAGGATGTTTCTCTGACAGTGGTAAACAGAGACAATTTTTGGTAGTAAAGAACGGCAATACCAAAGAGGAAGGAGTTAAGAAATAAAATAAATTCATATGAGTTGAGTTGTGAAAGAAATTCAGCCTAAACCAGTTTATTTCGAGGAATGGTAATGAACGGGGTGTTCCACGCATGGTTGCTAATTTTTTACGTAGGAAGATTTCTGTTTGAGCGTTTTCATTTAGCATTTTAGAAGGGTATGAGGAACAAAACTGATTCGCTGCTGTGTAACACTGAGGAGTCGTATTAATCGGTAAATAACTGCCTTTTTTTGGTTTTGACAAAACCTTAGAAATCTTTGACAAACAGCTTTGAACACGGGTTTTCGTGTCGTTAGAAATAAAATTGCACTGTAGTCGTAAAAAAATTTGTTTATTCAGTAAAAGTTTCTGTTGAAGAGCGAAAAGGTGATATATGCACGGTTATAAAATGGAACAACCGGTGTTCAAAACTCTTCAAAGATTGATAGCCCTTATCTGCGATCGTCTCTCAAAGTGAGATTACTGGCAGAAAGAAGAAAAAAACGAAAAATTTTACTTTAGTGATTGATTGGTAGTCTAGGAGACTTGCAGTGTTGTTGTATGCCAGAAAGCTCTTGTGAAATCCAAACTCTATTCTCCATATTCCGTGAGTATACTCAAAGACATGCAGATGGTAGAATGTTTAAACAGTAAATCCATTGATGTACGTAGCAACATCGAATAAACAATGTTAAAAGAAAATTGGAAAGTTAAGGCTAGAAATGTATATTTTTATATATATTTTAGGAACTGTTGCAAATCGGGCATTTTCAACAATCATTTGGAGCATAAAATGACTTCTCGAATAATAATTGATGGCCTCGCTTTGTATCTTTGAAAATTTGCGAGTTTCTGTTTTGAATGCTGTGTTTAATTTGTTTATTTAAATCTTAGTTTGTACTTCTGAATTTGAGAACAAGTTTCCAGAGTTCATCTCTACTGATTGTTACCTATAACAAACCTGATGGTTTAAAGTTGATGCACTTAAATAACCATGATAAAACCTTGAAGTTTTCTCTACGATTTCTTATTCTACCTTTCATTAACTAAAATTTTAGAATTTCATTTATGAAATCTGTTTTTCTTTTAGTTGTAATTTGATTAATTAGTTTTCGCTCTTTTTTATATCTTTTTTCAAAATTGGTAATGCTACTAGGAAAAAGGCGAAAGAAGAATAGGAAGACTTGCTTATAATTATAAATTCAAAACTTAGGACAGTTTCAGCGCTTTTTTCATGCAGATGTAAACCTTTCTAAGTGTAGTTACTTGGCCGTCTTCTCAAGCATTAATTTTACGGCTACTTGGCTCAGAAATATATTCAGGTTAGGGAATTCAGGTTGGAATTATAAAAATTCACAAGGCAATAAAACTTTCAATAATAAATGTATTCTACATTTTTACGATTAAAAAATAACTGGAGACTGAGTTTTATAAAAAAAGTCATTGACCAGTTTATATATAAATATATATATTTACAATTATAAAAAAATTTAAAGTAAAACTAATGAAATGTGTTTTTTTGGTTTTGGACTAGTTGTTCTGAAAACCAAATTTTTCGCGTCAGCGTAATTGTGGACTGCAGAAGGAAATTTTTATCACCATATCCGGAAGTTTAATGTCAACTGTATTCACGAATATCTCTTGACAGTTTTCCAGTTATTGGCTGATTAACGGTAAGGAAACCACATAAAATTTTTGCATAAATAATTTTAATTATCTGCATTTTAATCAGTCTCTTATTGTCTCAACTTTAGGCTGCGACGAATGCATAAAGAAACTTAAGTGCACTCCTAATGTGCTCTCTAAATTTCCTGCTTTCCTGCCTGTTGTATGAGAAAGTTAAGTTTTTTTGTACTTTCACCTGTAAATAAGCTTGGTGTGAGCAGAAAACTACCACAATGGATACCTATTGGATGTAACATTTAACTTTTCGTAGTAAACACTGTTTGTTTCCTAAGGAGATGATTTTTCAGCATTTGATACATGTAGCGACTCGGCTGTATCGCTTTTTACTAACGTTATTCTGAGCTAAGGAAGGTTTTCTGTTAAAACTTCTTTAATTGTCATGCATGTCACGAGTAGCGATCATTCAACATTAAAAAATGCAGAAAATTCTGAAAATTAAAGGTTTTTTCTTTTTCCCGTAAAAATCTAAAATTTCGTTGTAGTGGAAAAGCCTTAATAAAATTTCCCGGCGGGTCATTGCAGTTTTCAGCACTATTTAGTCACTTTTACTTTTCGTTAGCGTAATTTCTAGACCACATATCTATGCCACTACCAAACTATTGTTCTTTGCACAAACATTATTCACAGTCAGTTGATAATAGTTATATTCAATGAAACAAGATCAACATTTTTATTCACTTTTTATTTTCTTAAAAGAAACACATTTTTTTATTACATATAAGCTTAAAGCAACAAAATAGCGCAAAAAAATTGTTGTCAGTACGATTAACGGTACAATAATATCAAGAAGATAGTACTGGAAAAAGTTGAGTTTTGTTGATGCTAAATCTAAGTTGTCTATGTGACCAAAAACAACTGCGTGTTCAGTGTATTTGATTAATCGTTCAGTAGCACTAAAGGGCTTTTGCAGTATTAGTTGTTGTAGGCGTTTGGCTGCTTTATTGTACCTGCAAATATTTTAACTAAAAAGGTTACAGAGTTGTTAGGTGTGATGTGACTGGACATTGAGTGATTACCAACTAAGAGTTAAGAAGAAAGTGAAGTGTCAAAGACAAAAACTTTTCCACAAAAAGCTTCAGAGGAAGTTTCAAATTTGTTTACCAGATGCACCTGCCTTATCGTCTTTTAATTTTTTTGCAAAAAAAGTATTTTTAAAATATAAAGTAGCTGTCGACAGGTTTTTTACAAAAGCATTTTAACACTGTTTATTTTTTAGCTCAAATTTGATCAACGCCTAAGGTTTTTTGTGCTGCACTGTAAGAGTAATATCTGGAGTTACTTGTTAAACAGAATTAAGGAAACATGGACGATTTTAGACAAAGGAAAAGGTTTAATTTACGTTTGATGAGACAATTACATGATATTTATTATATACTTTGATTTCTTCAACTCTATCATAATTTTTCAGTACGAAGTAATAAAAAGTGCATCTCTCTAAAAGAATACCAATTTTTTTCAACTTCATACTTATTTTTCTTTCTTAAATTGCTTTTTAATTATATGCATTAAAGAATGGGAAATCTGCGAAACGTTTGAAAAGTTCAGCATTTGCTCTAAAGAAATAGCTTAATAAAATTATAAAACAAGAAGGAATTTTTTTTAAATGAGCTGTAATTTAAATAAATGGTACTTTGCTTATTTGACTAGGATTTTGTTGATGTGCTCAGAAAAATTGTTAAAGAGCACAGTGTCATCTGGTTTTACTACTGAAGACATGCGAAAGTCTGGATTTTCTTAATGAGAAGTTTTGGTTATATTCTTTATTGCTTATATATGTAAGATAAGTTGATGAAATGTTATGTTGTGAAACCAGTAGAGTCATTGCCAGACGTATAAAGACTTCTTAATTACGATCAATGAGCAACTAATATACACCTAGCAAGTAATTTGTAATTTAGTTGAACAAAAATAAAAAAAGGAAAAAATAAAATTTAGAAATCTTTAAGAAGTGTTAAATAGCATATCCCTTCAACCAATTCATAGCCGAATTGATAGACGGTTGTGCATTTCAAGACAGCCGTAAAATTTCTTAATGCTGATACTGACCTATCGTTTTTGAGGATTTCTTCTAATGCTTCAGTGAGTGATCCTTCAGTGATATTTCGTTTGTCGACGATACGTGCTATACCTCGTTTTTCTACCATTCTCGCATTTCTCAACTGATCTCCAAACATAGGAATAACGATAATTGGGACACCGGAGTGAGCACTTTCTGTTATGCTGTTTAAACCACCGTGGGTAATAAATGCTTTCAAGTTCTGATGCGCTAAAAAAGTAATAACGTACACTATCTGCTTGACAAGAATAATCTTTTGTATAATAAATTGTAGCGTGACAAGTATAAAATACGAAAAAAGGTATCCTCAACTTGTGGAACAATAATGATAGTGGTAGAGATATACAATTTTTTGAATTAATTTTCTGATAGGCTATTCTGAAAAATTGCCACATTCTGCCGAAGAATGTTAAATTTAGCTGTCAGTATTAATATAATCATCAGTAAGTTGTTGGCATGTTTAATAAACTACATAAAACGTTAGTAGCTTAAATTGAGTAAGCAAACTGCAAGTGAAGGAAAAATTGCATTTTTTTAACAATTAGATTAAATGTAGCTTCTGACGGCACATTTATTCACTTAAGGTTTTGTTACAATCTGAATAAATGACAGCATTTTAGAAAATAAATGTTCTCTGATTTATTTTACGTCTCTTGAGTTGCCTGCCAAGCCTCTATTATTCTCTGTTAGAGAGAAGTCCTTGTCAGGAAATGGCGCTACTGCAGTAGAAAATTCTTATATTACGGAAGGTTTCGAGACAATATCAGCGACCATGAGAGATGACAATTTTATTATCTTCATGAATTTGTAAAGCTTCATACCTCCTACAGTTCAGCGAACCTTTTGAGTGAATTTTACGCATAAAGGTAGCAGGATGTGGGTGTAATAATTGTACCTTATTAGAGCATTTTAGTATTCCATTTATGAATTGGTACAAGGGTTTTAGCTTCTGTAAGATGCTTCTACTGCATCAGGTTTGCAAAGCAATAATTAAGAGAAATCGCTTCTTAGTGCAGTACTTACTAATAGTTTGGGTTTTCTAAAGATTATATATACCAATAAAAGAGCAGCTAGACAATACCGACCTATTCGGTCGTTTTTAAAATGTGAAATGGTTTTCTCAAAATAAATTCTGCAGAAGTTCAACAAAAACTAAGTTAAAACTAAGTTACTTGAAATAAATTACGCTGTCATTACAGAATTTCCAGTTAAATCCTGTAAAAGCAGCATAATTTATTCATAAATCTAAAAAAAGAAATTATCCAGTCGTAACATGAGGGAAAAAAATGACTAACAGCTCTCTTTATACCCTGTAAGGTCAGAGAGAAAATTTCATTAGTCCATTTAACTGAATATTTCAAAAACAATTATTTTTTCACTTTAAGTAGTAAAAATTTCTGAAGTCTAAAAATGCAGTAACGCAATTCTTTGTATGATAAATTACTGAACCAAAGAATTTGATGTAAGAAAAACGGTTACTGTAGTTTGCTTAGATTCTTCTAAGGTATTAAACTGCACCTCATTTTTAAAACAACTTGGGTATTTTCGGCAAGAGGCTGTAGTGGTAAGACCTTGCGATGCAAAAAAAGCTATTTAACAAGCAAAAACCAAAAAGTAGTCGGAAATACCTACAATTTTTTACTTTAATAAACTTACTTAGTTATAATTTTAAAATAATCTATACTGTTGAAGATTATAATTTGTAACTTTTTTAATATTTCTCTAGCAAAATTTATAATCTCAGGGCAGCCTCACAGTTGAAAATGAAAGACCAAAAATTAGCACCTGGAGAAAAGCCTTTTAAGAATCGTGCTTGAAATTTTGGATTACGTTCTGTGATTGTAGTTTCAAATATGAGTAATTTTTTCAAACCAAAGTGAAAAAGACTAAAGATACTTTATTAAATTTTCTGATAGAAAATCTATCAAATCTTAAAGTAAATTTAGTTGTAAATTCATTTTTCTTAGCAAATGCCTGCTCAGAAAGTGATTAGCCTTGGATATTTTGAATTGGATAAATTTTAGTAAAATTATTAAATGTTTTACTCGTACAGATTAGCAAAGAACTGGCTAAAAAACAAAATTTCTTACTTATTCTCCTTAAATCCTACTTTATTTGTTCATTGCTCTATATTTTTTTGTATTCCATGTTTCTTTTGTATCTGTAATATTAATTGAACACATGCGTGAATCAGCAGCGTGCAGTTTCGTTAACACTTCAAAAACAGTTGTCTAAAATGTTCCAGAAATGGAAAATGTATGTTTATTAATGTAATGCTTCTACTTCCTTAAACAAACAAATATTTTTCTTCCCAACCATGATAAAATAAATATATAAATTAATAAATAAAAAAATAATTATTTTATTTCAACAAAAAAAGTGGCATAAAAGTATCAAACGATAAACAAACGTATCAAAGCTTGGAGAAAAAAGACTCAGGCAGATTTTGGGAATAAAAGCGGCTTGGAAAAACAACCCACCGAGAAGGCCGCTTTGTGGCGCCCAGCTGACTTTCATCAAATTATTCAAATTGCTGCCAATT